CAGTGATGGTATGGTGTCCTTAATATACAGAATACTAACAACACATTGATGACATGGTGTCCATAAATACTGAACACAGCGATGGCATGGTTTCCATAAATACTGAACACATTGATCGCATGGTGACCATAAATACTGAACACCATGAACAGTGATGACATGGTGTCCATACATACTAAACACCACGAACACAGAGATGGCATGGTGTCCATAAATACTGAGCACCATGAACACATTGATGACATGGTGTCCATGAATACTAAACACCATGAACACATAGTATCTATAAACACTGAACACCATGAACACATTGATTGCATGGTGTCCATAAATACTGAACACCATGAACAGAGTGATGACATGGACTTAGAAATCTGCGGAATTCCGCGGAAAATTCTCATCCCTGGATGTCGTTCAACAAAATCTGAACATAATGCTGTTGACACTGAATACTTACTTTAATATATGTTTTATCTAACTCCAATGCTTTGGATGCATCTCCCAAAGCATACCCAAAAGATTCTATCTTGAGATTGGCAAAGCTACGATTACCATAGTAAACCGCTAAATTAGGATTCATCTGAATGGCTTTAGTATAAAATGTGACAGCTTGTTGATAATCTTGGGCTGTGGGTAAAGAGTAAATTATGTGAGACACATGTCACTGGTTAGAAACTGTGACAGTCTAACAGGTGTCACACAGTATTTACAAAGGAGGTGAAAACTAGAGGGCCATCTTATTTTAAAACTTTCATGTGTGTAAACGGGTATTATCTTAATGTTGTAATTTTGGCAAAGTTCAGTTCAGTACTTTCAGTAATAAATATCAACAGTACAGTATTCAAAAGATATTTGCAACAGAAATTGTTTGTCAATAGTGAAACATTATACCAAGGAGTTCTGTGGATACAGTTGTCATGGAGTGTTAGATAAGTCACCAAATCACTTGCAGGATTCTCTGTTCAATGATCAAAGACTATGACATAAAATCAATATTCAATGGGAAGCATTTTACATTAAGATTATTCTTGTATTATTTCCTGTATCCATTAGGTTCCTCCCTTCAGAATTTTACTCCTGTTACCACCGCACCCAAACAAACTTTGAAGATTATATACTTCCTAGGTTGTGTTTTAACCATGCAGTCTTTTCTTTTCATGGAAAATTGAGTACAAACACCTAAAGTAAAACAATGCATCTATCTAATATATCTAAACATTTTGCACAAAAATTACTGGTTTAAATTTAGGTGTGATCAATTCTGACCAAAACTGGACAAGAACAATGTCATCATAAAATATTAATTCCTCAAATAAAACTACATTTACTGTATTTATCTCAATGTGCCTTATGAATTGTATAACAATTCTCTAAAACAGTAATACAGCAATTTACTCATAACAAAAACAACATACAATGTATTTGTTTACTAAACTTATCTAATTGACTAATCTATTTGGTTCTCACTATCAGCAGTATAAAGGTCTGTCTACTTATTTCTACATGCATGTCTGACAAGTGTTTTATTTCTTGGAAAATTGCATTTGTTACATCAAAATTGAAATTTGACCACTATCTTGATAAATATACATGGAGAAAACACCAAAATCGAACTACAACTTGCAAGAAAAAGTAACAGTAACAACAATGGAAATTTTCTCCTCATATTTCACTGTTTGACAAATTAACCACTTTAGTTGTTACCATTTTGATTTTGCACATTTTTCTTCATATTTTTTTTATTTAAGTTGACTTTTAAAAAGTTACAAAACAAAACTTGGAACTATTATTAGGAAAAACTATTACACAAACAACAAAGAAACATGTGCAATAGATCCTGTCTTTTATTTTAGTACATTTCTTTTATTTTAGTACATTTCTTTCATTTCGTTTTCATGATATAAACATACAACACACAACAGATTACATTACATAGTGGTATATGGAGAAAAAAGCGAAAGAAACAGTAATAAAAAAAAATACAGATTTGATCTGGTATAACACACAATTGTATTTGCCCAATATCCATTTATTTACGAGTGTCTCAAAATCGTATTTGAGAACGAGTTCTGCGGGCATGCAGAAGCCATAACACTGATGTGTGTGTGTTGATCTGTGGGTATGTTCTGAGGGCATGCAGATGCCACGCAAGTCAAGTCTGCGTGTACTGACAATTCTTTTGTACGTTATCATTATGAAGTAAGCAAAGGACAAAAAAAAATGCAATTATGAATAGTGACACTGTTTGTATTTTTGAATGCACCGAAATAAAACAAAACAATAAGTTGTACGCTGCTTATTTTGAGCTGTTGATCTAAAATCAATTTCCGCTGACACAGTTTAATTAGATGACAATCATCAGCACAGATTGCATCTGCAAGTTACATTCCACTGAAGCTGTGGGGCTTTGTTTTGTGAGTTATTACCGAAGATAACATACAAGATATTTAGGATGGAAATAAACCGTTAGTTTTGTGAAATTTGTTTTCTTCCCTGTTAGCAATATCATATATGGGTCATTGGTTTTGTCAACTAAACACTAAAATTCAGACCTGCTGGACTATTATTATTCAACTTTTAACTTGAACACAATTTGTTTCACAGGTCGATGAAACCAGAATCTATTGGGCATTAGTATGTTTTTTATTTATTGGGTTTTGCGTGATAGTTGGTCTATATACTTTATTATTTAGAAACCAAAGAAGAATTGTCTTTACGGCTTTAATAAAGCTTACCGTATTACATGTATTATATAAGCAGGAAGTCCATGGTATGGGTGATGGTATGGCTTGCATCGCGGTAAGAAAGTAACATACTGTAAAATACTTTAATTTCACTTATAATTTTCGCTATTTTCACTGAAGGAAAGGTTCAGTAAAAAAATAAAAGCCAGCAAATATAGTTTTTTTACTATAATTTATATTCAACTTGTCAAAAATCAGTGAAAATAAATTCCATACAAAACACACAAAAAGTCATTTCAGCGAAAATCAATTCCAGCTAAAATAAAGTATTCTACAGTAGCTGCTGTTGATGTTGTGATCATTTTGAGTTTTGACAACAGATGCTAATGAGGTGAACTAATTATTGTGTCTAGGGTGGATTATTATAACACTTGCTTTTTAAGTGAGCTTGTAAGTCTTGACATTAAAGTGTGGTGGTCGTCGCACGTGTTCAAATTTCACATTAACAAACAATGTATTATTTACACACGTTGTGCGATGCAACGACTATTTAAGCTGACCTCTTCTCTGTTAATTTAATTTACTGGTAATAGTTAATTTAATTAAATATTTATATTGATCTCTATTTAATAATTTGAGTTCATTTAGCGGGTGAAAGTGTGAAATATTTTGAGACATTGATGTGACTGCAAGCATAGCACCACGTGATGTACGACTCCCCTTAGCAACAATGGCGATATTATAATATATATTATATGGGCGTCTCCAAGGATTTCATGACCCGGATCCACTTTCGCATTTGTAATCCACTTTCCTGAAACACTCAGCATGGCAATATTTCATGACTGATTTAGTTATTACCCAATTAAGAACAGCTAAACAGCATACAGAAAACACTGTATTCCACCATTCACTATAAAATAGTGTGTGTATAGACTGGTACCACTCGGCGTGGTCGTGATTACACTATATCATAATTTATAGTGTTAGTGGATAAAAGTCGGTTCACATTAATTATTATTTATGTAAAACATTAAACTTTATGCACCTTTATTATTCTTGCAAGTATGTTTTAAGATTTTTGTAAGCACGTCTACATTTGCTTAAATTACCAAAATTGTCCGTAAAAACTACACGAGCACACGGATTTCATGAAGTAGGTCAAACCGCAATGTGACAAGAAACAACATCAATGCCGGTTCTACTAGTGTCAATGGAAAGATGCTCCCATAAAAACAATAAACCTGCGTAAAGACCGTAATTGTATACACTACCTTTGAAATATTCATTTGCCTTTTCTTTCAATTCATCGGCCTTTTTCATGTCTTCTTCATCTACGTCCATTATTTCGACTTTCCCGTTGATATTATCGTCCACGACTGGGTCAACACAGGGCGACGCCATTTTCGAACTATGAAGCGAATTACCCTTTTCTGCAGAAGTGTGCGCCCTCACGCAATACTATGAATATGCGCTTTTGTTTTTCAGTGTTAAAATCAGACTCACAAATATATACATATATGTTTGTTGTTTATATTTAAGTTAGGCACTGAGATATCAGTTGAACGAACAGACACACATACACGTCTTACCGACGTTGTGACAACACATATTAACTTTTAATATAGTTTTGATATGAACTTGATTTAAACGTGTTCCCATATATGGATTCCAAGATATGACAAACAATACTAAATTCATACAAATAATGAGTAATAAGAACATTTCACTAATTAAAGAAACCATAAAGTACATCGAACAGTGTTACAACATAAGAAATACATTACCGGCATAAATAAACAACATATGCCATATTCTTACATGATGTCGTTAAGGTCATTATACAAAACCAAAAACACCAGTGGAAGACAGGTTATGCTCCCATTGTAATGAAGTTGAAAATGAGGGACATCATTTAATACATTGTAAATTGTACACAAAACAAAGAGACACAATGTTTCACACTATCAACAGTGTAAATGCAAATTTCCTGAATTTGGATAAAGAAAAACAATTTAAACATATCTTACAATCAAAAGATAAAGATACTATTATAGCCCTCTATGTGTACTTGAGTAACAGTAAATGAACAAACAAAAGAATACACTCAGTCACACTTATTTAATTTTTTATTTACTCAACTTTCGCCTACTTACTTTTTTAGTTATTCATTATTAACTTTATTACAATTTAAACACCAAATTAGAAATGTAAAATTTTCTACACGGTTGTAATAAAGCTGTTATCTATCTATCTATTGTAAAATTGTCTTACTATTCACGGATAGTTTTATGTCCGCTCAACTATGTAAAAACTTTATTAACTCGTTAACCAAAAAAGAAATGTCACATTATCTTTACGGTATTAATAAAGAATTCTATTCTATTCTATATGGTTGCATTTTAATTGAGAGTTTGATTAAATCAGGCTCAGCTCTGAAGTTTTGAATGTGAGAAAATTGTGCGATTACTTCATAACCATAACGATAATTCTTCATTCACCTTAGGTAACCTATCTTTTGGACCTTGAGAAGATTCAATTTCCATGCCAATCTGCATGAAACCCAAGCTTGGAGTGAAGAGTAACCAGGTATGGATTGTATTTAGACACGTGCCAGAATCTGCCAAGTTGGTGATAACACGAAGGATTCCTTATATACACTAGAATTGGCATCACAATATTTGCATCCATTAACATATTTGTAGCTTAGAATATACGTTTACTGTAAAACATGTGTTTCTTCCTTGCATGTTATTTTAGCTATTTTAGCTAATCTGTAATTTTGCATATTCAAGGTGTGATTAATTTAACAAAGCATTAATCGCAATGAAATAGTTGACAGCTAAATTAAGCTTCAGCCCTTAATTCAAATTCCCTAATTTGCATGCAGCTATTTTAATGTGTATACCAATTGATTATACACTGTTCCCTTGATAATTTTGCGGAATATTAAAGGGACAAGCTGAGGCAGCCCCTCTAGTTTATTATGTCACAACAATTACTACCAATATTTGTTTAAGTTACGGTAGATAAAGAGGGTTTGAGTCTGAATCTAAGAAATGAAGCTGCAGGCACCACAGTTGATTTAATAATCCCTATTAAGACATAGTGTGAATGCAATGCCAACATTGCAAAACAAAAAAAATACAAAAAAACTTGAAGGGAGCTGACATGATTTGAAATGATGATGCCTCAAATGAAAGTAATTAGATACCTAATATTTACAATATAGAACACTAAGCCTAGCTAAGCTAAGAGTTCCAGGGTAAACTAAGTGTGTGTGAGACCCAGTCTGTAATAACTGGTACATGCTTTTAGGAGAGAGAACTTGAAGGTAATAAGAAATTAATGTTTTGTGTGATTCCAGTGCCTCAGTGCAAGCACATTGTCTAACACTGTAACATCACAAAACGCGTACATGGAGTTATGATTGTATCACCCCCTGTGGGGCATCTGCCTTAGAGTATGCAAAGCTGATCGTCTTCAGATCCATCTGGAAAATGTGGTACAACTTGCTGGCAACTGCTGTATACCCTCTGTTTGGCAAGTGAATATTGAATACCCCTAGATGCCAGTGTTCACTTCCGACAATGCCCGAGCATCATATGCATTGGGAACTGGATCGGCTGCCCCCTTGAATCAACTGTGGGTTGAAAATAGGGGAGGCTGGTTCATCAGGTCTTTGGTACTAAAGAGGTGGTCAGTTAATAAGGTGACTGAGTCAGACTAAAGGACTGCTAAATGATCATCACATCTCCTGTCTGAAGCCAAAGCGACCAGAAATAGTATCTTCCTTAATCCATTATCAAGTGATGCAGTATATATTGAGGCTTGTGGGGAACTCGGTAAAGACACTAACAACGATGACCAACATGGTGTAGCTTACCATGGCAGTGCCATAGTGCACATGCAAAGCAGCCCCTTGAGCAGTGCATCAGTGAACTCATGCCCCTCTGCACCTGATTGGCAGGCAGACTGGGAGGTCAAGGTACTGTATAATGCTCTTGTGTGCAATGTGGTCGAGAAACATGAGCGCCCACCGATGTCATCATACTGACCACTTTCATTAGTTTCTGAAGTGTGGTCATTGGCTGAGAAAATATACAGGCTAAACCTCTTGATTTCGTTGCCATGTTTGATCAAGTGATGAAAAATACAAGCTCCAGTACCTACCTCTGTCCCCAAGTACAGGGTTTGGGATGTCTTTGACTGTACTTGACTTGGTATGCAGAAGTTGGCTTGCTGGGTGTATTAATTGGTATGTGAAGGTATGCAGGGCACCATAAGATGTTTGGCGTACTGCCTGACAGATGGTGCAGTAACCATCCAAGGGTGACAAATCTACTACCAGTCTTCTCGGCTGAATCTTTAGGTAAAAGAAACAGGTTTGCATAGAAACCAAGCATGGTTATTGGGCATGGGAATAATTATGTGCCTTTGAATAGGGTTATATCAGGTATATGCCTGCTATCAACTCTCATCCACGGAATCCAGATTCCATGCAGACCCATGTGCATGAACCTAACCGGATATTGAGAACACCGGCGATTCTTAACCATATATTGAGAACACCCGTGATTCCTTACACACAGTGGGTTAATTGGCCAAAACATTATTTACATACATTACATTTGTTACATTGTTTACATTTTATTAGTAGATTTATGACTTTTTATCTAGCATGTAATTTATATAATTAAAGATATAGTTAATTGAAGAAAACGTATATTCTACAATGAAATAGTTGACACTTTGGATAATTAAGACCCATGTGTAAGTCAAATTCTCTATTTCAACATGTTTTACAGTAATAATAGCCTTATCTCACTTGCTGATCAACAGATGACACACGAGCAGCAAATAAGCAGACAAGTTTGCAACATGAACAATTCTCCTTGCCACAGACACACTATCATACAGATTTCGACTCCAAGATGTGATTGCAATATCAAACCACGCCTGTCAAAATACAAATGCAAAATGTAAATACATTGTTGCAGATATTGATTGAAAAGCTGAAATTATTATTATGCAAATCACGTAATTAATATGCACAGATGTGAATGTAATATAATTTGTGCTAATGTATTCCAGAGCAACTCTACCACAAGTCTGATTTTTTGAGATATAATCAATATCACAGAGCATCTTTGAACCAAATTTCAATGAAATGTGATGATTATGCACATTGTGCAAGCCGCCAAATCAGCAATTAGTATTTTAACCCAAAACTAATGTATTGTTCCCAGGCCTTATATACAAAGTCTTATTGAAATGCAATAATTGGGGTTTTTTGAAAACAAATTAATTCTTAAAAACTTAAATTATTATGCAAGTTAGGTAATTTATTATTGATTTATATAAACCCAAACTCATTAGATCATTACATGGTCTTAGAGTATATATGTACCAAGATGAATTGAAATAAGATAAGTGCATGAGACATTAATGGAAAACCTGAATAATTATGAAAATTAGGTAATTAATATGCACAGATTTTAATGTAAAATTAAGGTCTGCACAATGTCACAGACTATCTATGTACCAGGTTAAATTGAAATGTGATTAGAACTCGAGATATTGATGTCCTAGAGCATCTACATACCAAGTTTCATTGAAATGTCATGAGTATATACCAGTTTATTGAAATATTAGTGAAAAGGCCAAAAAATTACTAATTATGCAAATTCGTTATTTATTATGCACAGATATTAAGTAAAAACTTATCAGGTCTGTGAATTGTCCTATGACATCTATGTAGATAACAGTGGAAAAGGCAAACATTGACTAATCATTATGCGAATTATTGAATTTTTACCCAAAACTAATCAGTTCTGTGCATGGTCCCAGAGGATCTATGTACCAAGTGTCATCAAAATCTAATGAGCAGTTCTTTAGATATCAGTGGAACAGTCATGGAACAGCTAAAAATTAGCCAATTATCATGCAAATTAGGTAATTAATATCTATGCATCAATTTTCTTTTAAAAATCAACATAGACGCACACACACACACACACACACACACACACATACATACAGACACACTAACCACAAAGACTTCCATTTGTGTGCTTTGCACACAGGAGTCATAAAAATGCAATTCAAAGCATGTGCAATATCAATATCAGCACTGTAGCTACTTTGCATAATTTTCAGCGGATCAACTTCTGATGAACCAATTTTCATCTACACTGAAGGCACTTACAGTATGTTTGTTTACAGTACATCAAGACAATTGTGTACTTTATATGAGCCATGTTTTTGACACACGCCCATAGTATTAAAGTACAATGTATGAGGGCAAGCAATATCAACTTTTTAAGTTACCAAGTTTAGACATAATTGGACAGTTCGAATCCAAGCATAAATGTGTCAAAAAGTGCTGAATTATCTTGAAAAACAGGGTGATTCTGTGCAAGGTTGGAAATCTCGACCAACTGCCTGAAGCCCCACTGAGTTCATGCGAGTTTTTCAGATCATGGGGATGTTACTTCCAAGACCTTGTGAGATGAGTTAGTGTACATGTACCTTACCAGATAGTGTTATAACTATCATCTACAGGTCTGTATGTTGCACCAGCCTGATGTGAAGAGCCCACGGTACATTGATCCCCAACAATCTGATACAGACACACCCATCTTCAGGACAAAAGAAATGCAATTGCTGTTACAAAATAACGTCTTGCAACACCCCATGCTGTACTGAAGTCCATTCTCAGAAACCATTTCTGAGCTGACATTGGGCAAGACATTCAAGCCCAATTTTAGGGTGCAGGCAAAGCTGGAGTTGTGAATCAGCTGACCATCAATATATGAATGTACTTATCAGTAAAACTAATGTCTTTGATATGAAGTGTAGTGTTGAAAGGGATACAAACTGAAGACTTCAATAGTAAAGACAAATTTTTGTGGAAGGGTATATGGAAGTAAGCTGATCATTGTCAGCATATCTTTTGTAGAGGAAGCTGCAAACAGGAAATATAAAATGTTTTAGTCACTCAAAACCAGGATTGGTTGGCAAGTTCTCACCAAAACACATGGGGGAATAGAACTTGGATAAAGGAACCATTTTGCAAACAGTTCCACGACAGGTGGTCATGACTGTGGTTTTTCCCTTCACGGGCCAGATGATAACTAAATTCATTTTTATAGCATACATATGGGTAAAATGTCCAACCAACAGCCTTGTGGCAATGAGTGGGATTAAAGTTGGGACATCAAATTTGTTGGTCTGACTGTCAGCAGAAACTTCAACCATTCATGGGCAGTCGCACATTGTTTGCTCACATTTGATGTTCATTTTGAATTTTATATCTTCACACTTGTGTAGTTAGTTCTAACTTTGCTAATGAATTTATAGACATTCACCTGACATCAGTTTTGCAGCACTGTAGACAACCAGTAGACTTGGTGCCACCGAAATAGACATCACAGATTACTTTTTAGGTGATCAAAGTTTTAGTAGACTTGTGTCAAAACATGATTGTATTTGTAGATCACAATAATGCAAAATGCATCACTGGAAGTCACAGAAGCCATACAAGGTTGAAAAGTTCATTATGCACACTCCTGTGCTATAAAATTTAGTGATTACAGACCTAATCAAACTACACAATCACATTAGATGTGTATATCCATTACTACTTCTGAATAGCATAGATAAAACTGCTGTCCATCACGACTTGCACTGCCTTAGTTAAGCTAACCTGATTATATGAATCAGAAGTGTGATACGCATGACAAAGTAATTGTTTCATCCTGCACCAATTCTTTATTGTCTTAGTAATAAGCAACGTAATTAGGAGATCAGAATAACATTGTAAAGACTGAAAATATGAAAAATTTAGGATAAATGTAGGAGAGATAGATAAGGTGAAATTATAACTAGTTACACTGTTGACATAGAATAACTGTACTATACATTGAAATTTTAACTATATGTACAACAATGAAATAAAATGAGTTTCCTGTAGTAGATCAAATATTTGTTGACAACTCTCTTGGACAGTCACATATATATATATATAGATATTGGCAGGAAATAAAAATGAGCTTGACAATAACATCCTTGGGTCGTCAGGGTATATTCTTCATTTGATTAGAATACAGATCATATACGATGCTTGCTGTTCTTCAATATCAATATTTTCCTTCATAATTCTGGAGAAACTGTCACGTGGTGATCACAATATTTGAAATTTTTAATTTCTTATCCATATGTCTGGTGTAAACACAATGGTCTAACAAGTCTTTTTTCCAAATCAAAAATGTATCTGTTTCAACCAAAGCTCAATTCCATCATAAACCTTTTGTCTTACAGAATGACAGTGAATTGCTTAAAGCTAAAATTTCCAGCTTCCAAAAGTAGTTATTGGTCAGCTGAAATTGAACAGCTTTGTTCATATAAATTGATATGCAATAAGCTTTTTTTTCAAACTTCACATATGTAGAAATGTCTTGACTAATACCACTTGCTGTTCAGTTTGTTTTTATAAAATGCAGATACAAAATGTAGATGCATAGCCAATTGTGTCAATGCAATAGACAGTTACTGAAACTTGGGTTAGAAAACAGAATAAAATTTGCAGTGAAACTCAATATATTGCACTCTGAGATTCAATTATTTGACAGAAGTAATCCGTTTCAACCCAATAATATGGGATCAAAATCCACAAATAATGTCGATTAACATAATTTCAAAATGCGATAAAAGAGAAAAAAAAACGACAATCTTAAAAAACATCTGGTAAATATAAATTTAAATAAAATTGTTGTTACAAACATGGTTTGACACAAGACAACATTATGGTCATGTTGACTTCAAAACAAATAAACAACAAAGACAAAGTCATAATCAGTGATAACTGGGTGTTTTATCTTCACTAATAATTACTACAATTTATAGCTTGCATAAATAACTTATTGTACATGTAGTATTAAAATCGGTCTATGAATCTGAGAAATTTATGACTATGTAAATAAACCCTACAAGTTTAAAAGGCAGAAAGAATACTTGGAAGAAAGTCATACAAAACAATGAATGCAAGAAAAAATGTTCTATACATTAAAAATGTGTGAACCAATTCACTGTCTCATACTGCATAGATGGTAACACACTTGTGCAGACTTAGACATGGTGCTATCCAATCGTCAAATTGTTTCAGTACAATATTCTTAGTATGTAGCTGTTTGACCCAGAGGGTAACGAATAAATGAAGCCAGGTTTTACTAAACAATTTAAATATCAAATATCTACTACTGAGATAATGAAAGGTTGCATAAGATAACAAAGATTTACAATTACATTTACAGATGCTGAAAAACAAGTCATCAGTGTAAAGCAGATGCTAGTTAATTTAAGTACATGGACAAAATACATCATTAATGTGATGTTATATAAGTACAATTAACACTGATTGATAATTCAAGTATAATGGTCTTAATACACTTTATATATTCATTGAATTTGCAAAACTATATACTAAATGACACTGACAAGATAAAATAAAATGTCCATAATTGAGATATACACATCAGCTTTTATGATATTACTGGGAATAATGTCTGTACTCATTCTTTTGTTCATAAACATCATGGTTTCCGGCCACCGATCACAATAATCTTTACAATTTATATACAATTTACAATACTTGTCTTCATGGAATGCTCTTTCCAAATTGTTTGTTATATAGAACAATATTTAAGAGAAATACATTTCCTAAGATATAATTATTACTTATCTGCATGGATGAGCTCCAGAACTCATGAATAAAATATCCAACATATTAAGCTAAAATATTTCACAAACAAAACAGTAGTTATTAATGTAATTTACTTAAAATGACTCCTTAGAAATATTTCAATGCCACAAAGAGCTGGCATTTCATTCATGAGTTAGGACTTCAAAAATTCAAAACTATGACAGCGATTTTCCGGATATGGTTTAAATAAAGAACCAAGTACTGCCAGCAGGGACCTGGGAATTCAACAACTTCACAATGCAAAATATTTCAACACTAACTCTATTGTTTTCGCAGGATGTCTTTTGCTCTTTTGTCAGCTTTGGTGATGCGCTGGTCAAGTGATTCAGTCTACACAGTGCAAGAGGCAACAAAAAAGGACTATTAACACACTGGTAGAAATCACAATAAGGAAAATAAAACATAGGGATAACATAAAACAAATACCCATACACATAATACTCCTGTAGATACAAAAAAAAATTACAACATGCATTATATACAATAAAAAGTTAACTCAAAAGTTAACTCAAAACATTACTGCAGCTAAAAATTTGGGAAACAAATAATTTAGGGACTGTACACTACCCAGGAATACAAATCTGTAGAGGCAACAATTAAGGTAAAATGTTAAAAGAAAACTGGAAGGCAAACTAAATTACATTACATGCTACATGTAGGGACAGGTTGGGGAGTGGTTGGAGTAAACACAGGTAGCAGACACTTACCATTATAAAAGCATTATGTGAATTAAATTGTTATATGTGATTGTAAAGGTTAACAGTTTTATATTTTTACTTTTCACATGAGAGTACTAAAGATGAATGAAAATCAATTTTATCATGACACAAATAGGTGCAGTTAGTTATCAAGTTGTGTAGCAACTTCCCAGGCTCATGTGGCAACCTTACTCCTTTAACAGTTGTTGAGTTCTCTTGGTGGCTAAACCAATACGGTCCACATTCAACCGACTCTGAATGTACAACACCAAAGAATACATCCAAGTTTTGGTGAAGGCGGGTAAATAATATGATGGCCAATAAAACGACACAACACAAAAGAAAGAAAAAGAAAGAGAGAAGAGAACTTTATTAAATATGTGGAGATTTCATTTAAACTATCTCATATAGTAAACATGAGTATATACTGTAATGCTGGAAGATAAATAAAGTTTTAAAGGACATACAATGTAGCCAATTAAATGCAGATAAATTGAAATCATTCTTCATACTTAGTGTGATTCTACTCAGTTCTGGTCAATGAGATGGTTCACCATGACATTCAGAAACTTATCAATATATTTCTATTATTCTACTGATGTTAAAAACAAAATACAATGAAAATCTTAGCAGCAATGATGATGATGTCCCGAATAAATAGAATAAAGTTAGCATAAGCTGTCCTAGACAATTGTCACTAGTATCACAAGTGTGATGCTATTCAATAGCTATATCTAGAATTATCTAAACAGTGTATTGTTTTCATTATGAGAAAGGGTATGCTAGAAATTTAGAGCGAAAAAATCAATTGTCGAGTGCAACTAAGCATTAAATATACAACCACAATTAATATTGCTATATCCTGTTGTATCGACTCTATTCAGTACAACAAATTTAAAAACTACATACAAGAAGAAAATAATCATTAATAGTTGATCAGTTGGGACGAGTCAACAAACAAGTTAGCCAGTCATGGACGGACATAGTCGATGTGATCCCTATGTAGCTTAACTGCCACTTAGCTGAGCTAACTGAGCTACTATAAGTATGCATACAAAGAAGTGAATATTTATATATATCAATGTCAAACTGTGCTGAGATAACTGCCTCATGCATTACTGTCCCAGCATTATTGCATCCTTTTAGTTTTGATGGAGAATCTTGGTGGCACGGGAGTTGGCCAGATTTATACGGTCCGCATTCAGTCGGCTCTATACATTTGCACAAAAAAATAAAAACCAAACACAAACAGGAAACAAGAAAAACAAAAGCAATAAAAAAAACGATACCATCAGCAATGACCAGAACACAGGATCAACCGAAAAATAATAAGGCCACCAAGAAAAACACAAAGAGAGAGAAAGAAGAAACAAAAATTACTAAATGATAAAAATGTTAATGATACATGAGAAAACAAGCCTGATTGCATGCAATAGTTAACGCACAACTTTTCTGCTTAGAGCACACAGTGGATTCATAGAATGGTTTTTTTCATCCATAGTCATTCTTTATTTACAATGACTTAACATGCAAGACCAAACATTTTTAAGCATGACTGCAGAGGTGTGACTTTAAATATTGCATACAGTGGCCAGTGAAAAGCATGGCAAGAATCTATAAATGGTAAATGAATAACTTTGCAAAAAAACAAGCTCAATAAAACAAGTTCATGTGAACTTTTATCTTGCTACAGGAAAATAATATTTCATTCATTGCTCATGCATATTATTACTAGTACCAATAGCAAACATCAACTGTGACCAAACAATCATCTTTCAAATTGTCTAACTATAAACCCCTTTGAGAAAAAAAATGTATTGCTGGCAGACACAAAAAATTGGTTACTGTCAGTGTTAGGCGAAGCTTCTTGATTGGGACAAGATGATGGACAGCCCTGCAGTTATGTTTATGTTAGGAATCCCTCCCCTTGTGAAGTAATTCGCTTGCCCGTGTATTAGCTTGGTGAATACGTGTGACATTTGAAGCACCCTGATAGAAGTAGAAAAGAAGCACAGAAGGAAAAAAAAAGTCATGCCAAGTAAAAAGTTAGTAACAGTAAAACAGAACCAGCAAGAGACAGTTAAACACATACATTACAGACCATGCTTCCATGTATGTTGACATGTATGTTTACATACATAGTTTAAAGTGTCTGTGAAAAACCTTCTACCCTGATATCTAAAATCACTTGTTGCTAGATGAATATTATTTATTATAGTATTCAATTTCTACTATCTACTATCACTCATTTGATGCATTTCACATTTATTTCTAATTTGCAACTAGACACTGATAACGTCACAAGGAGATATTGCTGTTCAGCGTAGACATACATGTAGTAGTGGAACTGTGACAGTTTTGTTAAATATTTCTCATCTATTGACTGAATTAAACTACTAGTAAAATTTGTTTGACAAATCTTGGCCAACAAATATCATGCTATATTTAATCTTCCTCAGTGTCATATATGGACACATTCAATGACCTGATAAGTGACTGCATGTTATTCATGGGTCAATCACTTGACTCTGTGTCATATCTGTAAGATTTCGAGCTCATTGCAAAAAATTGAGATCCTAATTGGATCTAACAAACTTTTAACATAATTGTCGGGGGGCAGACTAGTGTAAACCTTGTTCTTAAATTGGATTTGCGTGTTCATTGTTTGTACCCCAGAAATAAAATAAAATCAATTTAATTGACAAAACTTTACTTCGTATTCAGTCAATTATTAAATATTCTATTAATAGAATTTTCATTTTATATCCTAGTAATACATGCACTAGTAAAAGAAATAAATAGTTTTATAGGTTCTTGCGAAGCTCCCTCAATTTGTCTTATGTTTGGTGGCATTGTTTCCTTTCTAGTGACAGGAAGGGGGCGTGGCTACAACTCTGACTCATTTCAATTTTACTTGAATACCATTCATTATTATTTTTAATTCACAAATATTCATTTTAGGGCAACATGAACCCCAAAAAATAATGTATTTGTGGGTATTTCACAGGCACTTTAAATATAAAGCAACATCAATTATTATATAAGAAGATACTGATATTCAGTGCTTTTATGTGCAGTGTGTTTGCATTTGATGAATTATTGGATATAAAGGAATGGTAAATGGAAAGAGTAACAAGTGACAGGTAGGGGAGTGGAGAACCAGGGAGTGTGATTGCAGGCAGGGGAAGATAATCTGGACCAAGATTGTTGCAATGCAAATAATTAATATAACTTATTGATCATACATATTAATTCTCATTCAGAAATTGAGAAAGCCAAAGCAGATGATATGGATGAGATGTATTAGTTGAGGGAAATATCAGGCATGATTAAAATAGGTTTTTGTTGAAAACGGAATAAGCAAAGTCTAAATAAGTATAAGTAGTTTTAATTTGGTATAAATACAGTAGAATTCACTCCAAACAATCACACAGAATGTAAAAGCTAATAAACGCTATGTATCTTCATGCAGATTTGAATGTTAGTCATTCCACGCTTGCAGAGAAGAACATGGTACATGCCTATTCTTTGAGTAGCTTTGTTGCACGAGTGTTTGCAACAGTGAGACGTTGAACATTGGACCCGGCCTGATACAGATAATAACCATGCCAATGCAAGATTTTGTACATCAAAATAGATTTTTAAATCATATGATGTAATCCAAAGAAAAAGTTGGAAGAAAAGAGAAGGAAAAACATATCATCAGTATTTTTGCTTAAATCAGAGAAAAAGTATTGAAAAAATCCATATATGTATAAGAAAAAGTTAAAATAGTTTTATTTTAATAAATTGAGAGATGTATTATTATTGTTAATATTATTATTGGTATCAAAGCCAGAGATGGAAAGATGAATAGTTAAGAGAGTCACTAATTTTGAGAGAAAGGATTAATGTGTTAGGTGCAGTCAACATACAAGTCACTATCATGACAAAACAGCAGTGCAGTTTACAAACAAACTGCTGAAAAAGATCCTACAAACAGTTACAAGAAAGAGAGTAACAAGAGAGAGTAACAAAAAAAAAAATATCAACACATTACTGTAGTGGGGTTCACAAAAGTAGTGACCAAAAAAAACAAACAGGTACAACAATCAATTTATTTGCCATGGTCACACACAGAGGGATAATAAAAGTTACTTTACACTTCAGATATTCGATTCTTCAAGTAATAAAATCCCACCCAATATACACACACACACACACAAAAATTTAATTTTGGTTGAGTTGCTTTAACTGATTTTTCCCCTAAAACGGTACTAGTCCCAGGAGATGTATAATCCCCGTACTCTAAAGGTTGAAACACATGTGACCATGGCATATAGTCTATATTGTTAGTCAGAGTTGGTTATTGCTAAATAGGTACAACCTATTAACGTCTATCTACAGGATATTTATAGGTACTAAGGAGTGAAATCCAACACGCCAACTATAATATACTAAACTGTTGTGCAAGAATACTACAAGAAAACACCCAAGGTAGGCTATATATACAGCAGATATCTAAGAGAAAGAGAAGTGCAGGAAGTGAAATGGCAATTCAGACATGCTTCATTAGATTTACAGAGAAATTGTCTCTGTTAAAAATCTAATTTTAGAAAGATCGTTAAAAGCGACGTGGAAATTGATGATAAATATCTAAGGAAGCATATCCATTGCATGAATTATAAGACAAACAATTAAATGCTGGTTGTATCAGAGAGAATAAAACTCTGTTACATCCATGTATTTACGTCGTCAAGTGATTCAGGGATGTACTCTATGGCATTCCACACTACACAGTCAACACCTAAAGGACTCCAAATTTTACAGTTAGACACAAGATATACTGCAACTATTTTACTGACAAAGCTTTAACACTCCTTGGAGAAAAGAACACTAATATTGGCAGATTAAAACTACACAGCTGGGATTTTGTGGGATGGGCAATGAATCATGACCATGATTTCCTGTGTTTTTTATTGTTAGCCATGCTAGCTGAATGATGCGCATAATAATTCAGCAGTCCCAAGTATAAGAATCCCAGATGTGCAAACATCAGTGCTACTATTTATTCAAACAAATGTAATCTCAATTTAATAAATTTCAAATAGTATTGTGTTATTGTACTTTTGACTGAAATGAGTGAGTCAATTGGTAGGTCAGCAACTTTAAATAGGAATTTAGTGTCAGAAATATAGTTTTATATTGACTGATCACAAAAATAATTTCAGGAAGAAATATTGCTTGATGAAAACAGTAGCACTGTGAATGAAAAAGGTAGAGGTAGAAAATATTAGAAAGGTATTGAAGAGATTGATGGTATAAACATGCCACACCCACCTTGTCATTGATGCGATCAACCTGCTTATTTTGTGCTTCAATTTCATTACCCATATCGATTGCCATATGTTTCAAATTGCCAACAATACCACTAACTTGACCAACATTCTCATCCATTTCAGTTTCTCTAGCATCATTAGTTATCCTGAAAGGCAATTATATGGTATGCTACAAATCCTGGCTTACATAGTCACATGCTGCCTTATAACAGTTGATTTATCACCATAATTTATATCAATAAAGCCTATTTTTTCTAGATACTGTATCACAGTGAAATAATCAATTTCAGATCAGGACTTCCATTCCTTTTTATAGAACCAGATTGAAAACGGGTGTTGGAACAAGTTCAAACAAGGATTGCCATGACAACTAGTCTATTGTATACCAGAAAGATTGGATATAGGTTACTGGTATATAAATTAGAATTATGGAAACTGAGCCAGAATGAAAACAAGTGCTAGAACAAGCAACAATCAGCATGTTGTGATATGACAGAGGCCATATTGAAACAAAAATAATGAGGGGGAATTTCCTCCTTATTTTAAAAAATCCACCCCTCCATCCATCCTGGATTTGGACCTATGCACCAAGTTTAATTGAAAACAGTAGTAGAAATATCAAAAAAAATTGTCTTATTTATGCAAATTAGGTTACAATTATGCACAGAATAAAGCCGAAACTAATCATGTCTGTGGATTACCCCACAGCATATATATTTCCAAGTTTCATTGGAATTTGATAAGTGGTTCTTGAGATATCAGAAAGTTGCCTGGTTTTAAATATGCAAATTAGGTAACTATTATGCATAGTTTCATCCCTAAACTAATCATATAGAAAAAATATAACAATATTCAATTATTATGCTGTAATGAAAAACAATAATTCATTTTAGATGTAATATATGAAAAAATATATATGCAAATATACTGTAAACAATTTGATATTGGCAGTTGGATGATATAATTGAGTTCATGCAAACAAATTTTCACAAAACTGTTAATCTCAATACCATTTTCACTGCTACAAAAATTCAAAATTTTCATGGACATTTGCTTCTCAGAAATTAAAAATTGACATTACAATGTCCATGCAACATACACTTTGTTTCTTTATTTGATGTATTATTTATATATTTAAATATATTATAAAAGCTTCTTTTCTTGAAAATCTAATCAATAATTTTATAATCAAAATTGACAGTGTCACATGATTATTTGTCACACAAAAAAACAGATCAGAGTTGTCAGATATAATCAATAAGGAAGGAATATTATGATATGACCACTGTCACTCCACTGTCAGTTTAATAATATTTAATGAGTAGAACAATTAATAAGATAAACAGTGATACCAATGACAAATTATTGCTCAATGCATGTAACTTGAGAAACCATAACATTCACACTTGATAATATCAATATCATCTCATATATATCTCATATAAGCTATACAAGCCAATTAACTGAATATACAGTTCATTCTAGAATGCATTAAATCAAAGTTTCTCATTCATGCCAAACATTCATTTAAGAAATATGTTAAAAGGAAGCTGGGATTGGACTATGGAATGTGACACCATTGCTCATGTTGTTTATATTACAGTGTTACTGCCTGTTACTAATTACTGCCCTCCCACACATCCGGCACCGGTAACTATTCAGTCGGATGGATGTACGATTGTTTTCAAAATTATATACCTAGAGATCTGATTGGACCGTTTTGACACATGCAACATTTAAAACATGTATAAACAACAATCGATGAACAAAGCGTGAATTAGGGAATGATACCAATGATACTGTCAACAAGCAGACAGTGTATTGTAAAGTATGCAGAGCAATATATAAATAAAATTTTCTTACTTGAATGATTGAATGAAATGGAGTGAAATGATTGAAAATTAACAAGCCATGCATGGCACAGTCCCCGTTAGTTATCAAATTTAAGATATATAGTTTTGTTTATAGTAATATAGCTGGAATATAACCCTGTCAGGAATATGATTTTTTAACATTAAAATGATTGACATTTGTATCTGATCGTCAAACAAGTACTTGTCCATATTGAGAGATATTGCTCTGGAACAGCATTCAAAATCAGCCATTTTGAATACATGTATATATATAACATGATGTATAACGAATATATAAAATTTAAATATAATAAGTCAAACCATTTAAGAGATATGGCTCTTGAAGCCCAATCATGAAACAAAATGGCCGCCAGTCAGCCATTTTGAATCAAATCTGAAAAATATAATGACGAACATCAGGATCCCGTAATGTCTACGTATGTACCAAGTTTGAATGAAATCCATCCATAAATGCTTGATATTTGATGATTTTTTAGCACAAAAATGACCACCATTCGGCCATTTTGAATAGGATAGTCAAACCAGTATATCTGTTTATCTATGACATGATGTATAATGAATATTTAAAATTTGAAAATATTATCAGTCAAAACAAGTCGGAGATATGATAATTGATAATATCAATATCATCTCATATATATCTCATATAAGCTATACAAGCCAATTAACTGAATATCCAGTTCATTGTAGAATTCCAAAACAAGTCTGAGATATGGGTCTAGAAGCCCATTCATTAAAACAAAATGGCCACCAGACAGCCATTTTGAATCCGATCTGAAAAATAAATGATGTGCATCAGGAACCTGCAATGTCTAATATATGTACCAAGTTTGAATGAAATCTATCCATAAATGCCAGAAATGCTTGATATTTGATGATTTTTTAGCACAAAAATGACCACTATTCGGCCATTTTGAATAGGAAAGTCAAACCAATATATCTGTTTATCTATGACATGATGTATAATGAATATTTGAAATTTGAACATAATCAGACAAAACAAGTCAGAGATATGGCACGAGAACCACATTCATTAATACAAAATGGCCGCCAGTCGGCAATTTTGAATCTTATCTGAAAAACAAAATTATTTGCATCAAGGTTCCATAATGTCTAATGTATATACCAAGTTTATACAAAATCCATCTGTAAACAGTCGAGAAATGGTTGATTTTTAGGATTTTTTAGCACAAAAACGGCCGCCATTCGGCCATCTTGAATCAGATCGTGAAACAAATTGACGTGCAAATGTATAATATCATGTATGATGTATGTGTGAAGTTTGATTGTGATTGGTCCTGGCATTTCTAAAATACAGGTCCGGACACACGCACGCACGGACGCACGGACACACGGAGGTCAAAACACAAGTCACCGTTTTTGGACCGCATCCAAACGGGGACTAATAAAATATTGAAAATATAAACAGGGCTGGTGAATTTTTAGCAAGTTTTTAAAGATACCTGCCCTGTTGTCTGGTAAAACATTTTGACAAATTTCAAACAATGATATTATTAATCTTTTTGTTCCCCTTTATAATTTTAATCCTGAAGAAAATTTGCTGTGAGATTGGGCTAAAAAAGCTCAAGTCACAGACAGTCAGCAACACAATAGTTGTATTTTCACACAGATGCTTATTACAGCGCATTAAGAAACTACCGGTACTTGTCTAAGCTACATATGATTCGCCCAGACTTAAAATGTAAATCTCCCTGGTTATTGTACAGAGAAGAAATTGTCAATTTGTATATTTTTAGTAAGTTTGGTTGCCCTTTAGTCCATACTAAATGTATGTCCAACCACAGTCCCTCTATCACGTGATAGAGGGACTGTGGACCAGCCAATGCATAAACTCAACTGGGTCTAGCCGATAAGCTAACATACATGAATGGTTTCAGTTTTTTGTAAAAGTCATCAATCAGTTCACATATAAACCAAGACCATCAAGGATATACAAATTCAGTGGATATGGGTTTGTTTGCTTGAGATAAGTTGTGTTATTGAAATTCGATGATTATCGACGATGTTTATCCCATTATTAGTGTGAAGCGGCATTTGGTATGGGAAGAAAACATGTATCAATTGACAGTCACAGGAAAAAGAATTGAATATCACAGAAATGCACTGCTCTATAATTAAGTGAAAAAATACGGCTTGATTTGCTTGTATAACACATACTAAATGGTGATGCGCCAAAGATTGCGATGCTGCAACAATCAATTTCAATACCATAAAAACAGTAATTTTCATCCATGCATTGTCAAATTCTATATATGACCGATTGATAAGCACTGAATTCAGGAAATTATTTCCACATATCATCACTAAATTCACACCGAGCAATGTGCAGGCACATGTAATTGTCACTGATTCAAGAAGCAGAGTTCTCCAAGCACCAAACGATGAGCTTGATTCAGGGATAAGTCTTCATGTATCATCACTGATTGCACACTGAATGTAGCTTCAGTAAATCATCACTGATTCAGTGAGTGGAGGAAGAGCCTCTAAATATCACATCAAAATTGTTTTTTCACTGCTTCTTGCAGAGATAATGGCTGACTTTCACTTTTCAACCATGGGCATGGAATTTCAAAGATCAAATGATATTAATATAATAAAATAAAATGATTGAATTACTGAAGAAGAAATGTACTCCAGGTTCAAGCTGTCTAGTGAACAGAGGCTATTATGAGATATATTGATTATTTCTGGCATATATTCGATTCATCATTTATTGTACTGATGATTGGACAAACGAATCACTATGCGAAGGTTAAGCCATGTCAGTTGAGTGAACAATGGGAGCTCGTCACAGGATGCAGGTAAAGTTTTTGGTTGACAGATTGAGCATAAAACATTCCTTTTTTTTTGCAATATTTTTACTGATCAGAGTGTTACTATATGCCAGGCACACCACATAATGCAAACCAGGACAAAATGAAGAAGCAAGACAAAACTTTGTATGGTCATGGACATGATCAAAGCCATAATTCTGCAAAGCCTTAGAAGGAAATCATGTTTACATGCATTAGTATCATTCACGTTGGAGATCTCGGGATGTGCCGAAACATGTGTGTGAACAGTTGGTTCTGATGGATGCTCAGAATGAAACTCGCCACATGCCGAGATTTGCTGTCTGAACATTTGACACAAACTGAAATCACGCCCTCAATGGTGATTTTAAGAGAACATATACTGATTCAAACACAAAGAATTGAAAATTTCAGCACGTGCTCGGATCCCTTAACATGTGAACAGAGCAATTAAGTAAATGTATCAAAGTCGACTCTGATCTCAATCTACCGGGGTACTAACAATTGATATGTAAATACACAGTACATACATGTGTTTATCTATCTATTAAAAACTCACCTCATGTTTTGTATGCGTTTATACATGTATTGAAATTAAAACAGTTTTCAATCACTCAATACACAAATAAATTATTTTTGATTAGAAATTGTTGATGTAAAAGATTCAAACAGAAGAAGCAAAAATGTCATTGATTTTTTAATGGTGACATGGTATCCAAAGCAATGGTGCCCAAAAGAAATCACCTCTTGATTTGATCATTTTGAATTGTGAAATTACTGCTGCACCATTTTTCAATCAAAGTGGTTTGCAGTAGGTCCTTTTTGTGGAGTAGCTCCCTTTTGTGAACCAAAAATTAAAATGCAGATTCAATACATTTGTCAATATAATTCAGGATATTTGATTTTATCATATGCACTATAGGTTACAGCTGTTTGTCAAAAAATTCTGCACTGTATCAAGTCATTTTTGTGATGGAAAACGCTATCATTTGACATGATAATTCATTAAGCATTTGCAGAAAAATTAAAATGTTTATGTAAAACCTAAGATTTCATTTATATATTCTATCCTTTCATATTGTGAGCATTTCAAAAATTTAAATTATTCATCAGCTTAAACATACATTTTAATCAGCTGCCACATCTATGCATACATACATGTAGCATTATTCCCCGCTGCATCGCGCATGGTCAGTACAAGTCACATTTTCCACTGCTTTGATTACCTATATCACATACTAGTTGTGACTTGGTTTCCCTTTTAATTTGCTGTGACTATGTTTGCTTCTCCGGAAGATGGAGTTACTATTCAATAAAGGAAAGCTAAAGATAACCATTATACAAGAAACCAGTAGAATTATATTAAATCTATAAGGGAATGAGTCATGTGAATGTAGAAGGTCAGCCTAAGTAATAGAACATATTTATGTCTGTTTTAGAAACATACGACTTGATGATCAGATGACTACTAATAAAATGCAGACTCTTCCAACAATTCCTCATGGTCAATCAAAACAGAATTGACACTTTTTTGGCCAGTACAAGCCTCTTTCATCAATACATTTCACAAGCAAGTAAACATAAATTCATTGTTTTCGCAGTAAAGGTGAAATCTCAAACATACAACTGCAGTAGCATAAATGATTGCAATTTTAAAATTGTACACATTTTTAATAATATTATTGCAACAAACCTTGTAATATAGCTTGAGTTTCCCATCATTGCATTTCGTTCATCTGATACCCTTGCTGTTGGTTGACTCGACACCACTTTACCATCTTCAGAAGATTTCCATGTCTTTTTATAGTCATCTCCCTTTTCAAAGTTACCAAAACTGCAAGAAATTAATATATTAGAGAGCAGGTGATTTAGGTTTTTAAATTCCAATTTATTCTGTACGAGCCATTATCACACATCTGAATCAATTATTTAGTGACTGCGGAAATGCAATTCTTTTCGATACACATCTGACTGTAATGCTCAAAAAAGGAAATGAAAATCAACCACTTGAACACTGTGAATGAAAATATTATCCCGATCCAATCAATCAAAAAACAAGATGAAAATGGAAAACATACAACCCATTAAGGGACAATCACAAATCCACCTAGAAGCTCAAAAATCACAATTCTTTTATTTATTGCGGGATGTAGGGATGGTTGCTGTTTGGACAAAATGTCCATTTCAATTACCAAACTTAAAATCAAGCTTGATCTCAGTGTGAAGACAAATACACCATCATCTCATTCAAGAACACTAAGGGCTGCATACATGTAGTAGCATTTTAGTCATCAAATGTAGCCCGAGGCTTCTGTAGTTCTGTTAAGAACATCAATTGAGAATAATCAAGAGTTGCAAATACAATGTTCAATTTTGAACTTTGTAAGTTTAGTTTCAAGGAATGGAAAATGTACATAAGCAAACTTCAGTTTGTTTCGCTTATGTGACAAATTGAGACTATCCCTAAAGAGCCTAGAAACAAGATTTTATGCTACTTCGAATAATAGGACAAAGTATTTACTTTGAAAATGCTTCATCATGGAGACGCAATTGACAAAATGATATATTGCTTTTATATTCTGTCCAATCCATTAGCTATTTCCCAGCAAATCTGTTGCTATTAGTATAGCTATATGGTAGCCTTCAGCCATTATTCGCCTGCCTGAGACAAACAGACAATGTGGCTGCCAAACTAATCTACAGCTGAGTATAATGCACAAGTCACATCCAATCTTTTGCATTGTCTAGCTTAATGTGCTCATCCTCAGTTCTAAACCTATTTGTGTCTAACTCTACATGTTTTAAACATAAATACAGGATTCAATTATTTATTATTAATAACAACAATCAGTCTAATATATATAATGTCTAACAAGGTACATGTATTTGTTAAATTCAACACAAATATAAACATTAAATTTGATTTAAAATGTCACTGCTCCAAATAAATGCCATTTAATTTAATGCCATCCCTCACATTACTCAGCTGTCAGAAACATGACATACAACTAGCATGTAATATGATATTAATCACAATTATTAATATTTAAACACTATAATAGTAACATGTGACACTCACTTTTTACATGGGCAAACACAGATGCCACAGCACTTTTCAAGACCAGTCAAGTTTTTTTCAGCCTCTCTCATGTCTGTGTTGATCTGATCCATACCCTCCTCAATACGATCAAGTTGTTCTAAATTAAAGATGAAAAAGAAAAACAGCCACAAAAACAAAATCAAATTATCGAACAGATAATGAAAACATCCTAGCTACATGTACATTATGACGACTTTGGGTACTGTTTATATTTTACAGGTGATGGGGGAATTTTAATTAATACATACAATTACTTTTTATTAGCATTTATTTCACAAAATCACTATGACAAACAAATGTAACCATCACACACAAGTACTAATTTGAAGACTAAAAACTATATTTACTATTTAAAATACTAGTTTAAAGACTATTTTTACTTGACTAAAAAACATGGTTCATCAACTTTTATACTAACAGTACCATTAACAATACACAATTATGTTATGATTTTTTTCATATTTTATTGTAATGCACAATAATTATCAATAATGATAACTACTAATCTGTTATCTGTTAACACCAACTATAAACAGAAGAGGACAGGTTTCATCATTATTGTCCTACTCAGTTATAATAATTGAATGCAGTGCTTTGTTTTGTGCTAGCATGACAAGATGTAGGATTACCCAGAATAGAAGTGTTTTCATCTATCAGATACATTATCAAGTACATGCAATGTTGTGTATAACATATATGTTGGATTTTATCTTGATATAATTAGCAGTGTAAATACTTAATAAAATGTGGAGTAAAGTGACGAGTGTTAGGATATCAAAGATGAACTATGGATATATATATGAGGAATTGTTGGTTATACTGACATCAACAAATTGTATTATAGCACACTTAGATGCATATAGCACACTCATATTTAGTACTTCAAAATATTGAGAAAAGAATATTCTTTAAAATGAACATGCTGATGTAAAGTGTCATTGTGTCAGCCTCAATTTGAAAATTCAGTGAACCGTGAACGAGCCATCAGAGGATTCAACTGAAAACGTTTGTCATTCTTTCAAATTAGATTCCAATTAAGGAATGTAAAGATGCGTAAAATCTGACAGTATTCAGTGTAACTGATGAAAACATGCAAATACATGCTAACATACAATCCATGATGACATGCAAAACATGGCACTATTTTATCAAAACAAGAGCTACAGTGTATTTCTCAGTTTGCAAATCAGAACAAGAAAAATCTTCAAATTCATCACAGAAGAATTAGAATCTACTTATAAGGTTTAAATGTTAGTAGGAATGCACGTAGACTCAAAACAAGCTCAAACCACTTTTAGTAAGGGGAAACAAATAATGGTCACTCATAATGGGTTTTACAAGTTAATTACATTGATCTAGACTAGATGGAGTACGTATACAATATTTTCTATTACAACATGGAAGAGGGAAAAACACATTTCTCATCACTGGGAGACTTTTTATTATGTACACTTAGTGAAAAATACACTAATCTGTCACCTCCTTGTTCATCCAACATTACTAGAGTGTTGATGCCTGCCTCCTTGCTCTGGTCGATGGAAAATCAATGCAGCAAAACGCAGAAAGAAGATCAAAAGAAGAAGAGAAACACAAGAGAAATTTTAGGAAAATATTTCAAGTATTAGCAAGTATTTACTGCACCAAACTTAATCTGAATTTTCAGTTGGACTGTGAAGCTTGAATTCAGATAGTTTGGGCAGTAAATAGTTTTTTTTTATTGTTCATCCTTTGTCTTACCTCCTTGCTCATCCAACATAACTATAGTCTTGATTCCAAGATCCTGACTCTGAATTGTAAAAAAAATTACGATAACAAAAACAACAGCACATGGGTGGGAAAGATAGAGGATATAAAAGCTGGGATTATAATAAAAGCAAAAACCATACTGATACATGACGATATCAGATGACATTTATTACGATTTATTTGTAGAGATTAAAGCATGGTTTTCATGGCAACCCACCCACCTATGTCTGAAAAGTGATGAATTTTATGATCAAAAGAATAGAATTCATGACACCCCCAGCTGCTTCAAACCTCATCAGCCAGGAGTTGCTAAAGCAAACTACAGCACAGTCTATGCAAGTGCACTGAAGTGTTCAGTAGATGAGACTATTCATATCTAAAATGGCAGTGTGCAGAATTCATTCTACATGCACTCCACCTGTTAAATCTACATTGATACAATGTATCCAATTATAGCTTGCTTTAAATTCCTATAAAACAAATGACAGTATCAAATGCCAAGCATTCAGAATCCTGGAACATGTACACAATTACGTACTTGTGTTGGAATTAAGTGCTTTAATTTAATAGCTGATTCATATTATTATATTGTTAACCCTTGTAACACCTGGAATTATGTATGTTAATCATTGTTGCCACAGGTGTGGTGATCAGACACAGTCCTTTAGATGAACTAGAAAAGGAGCTTGGGACTAGATAGATATAACACTAATATGTTGAATCACATACCAAATGGTGTGTGGCAACACTCGATGGATTATATTTTTTAAGTGCCCATCAGTATTGGTAATGGTGTGGGCTGATCAATCTATGTTTATATCAATATAGCTGGTTATATCAATACATTGATGTGCTTAATATAGACTATGTTACAGTAAGGTCTGTGCACAACTTAACATCTACCTGGCTTTAAATAATTAAACTGGCTTAGCTTTCTTTCAAAACATTCACATAATTATCTAAATTGTATTGAGTAATCTGCTTATATAGGTCTCATATTATAGTCAGTAACATAAGTAAACACTACAAAGAATAAGTTGAAATTATTAATTATGAGTTATGCTACGCATTTGTGTTATGAGTCAGGATTCAGCCATTGGAATAAAGCCAATTTTAAATATTGAGAGATCAACATGTGGTTCATGAGGTAGATATAATTAAACATCACCTGCTATAAGCCTCCACAGGTAGCCAATATGAATAGGGGATAAAATGGCACCAGCGGGCTATGTATTGAGTGGTGTACAGAAAATATTCCACCATGAATAATTCTTTTGAGTTGTATCTTTCAAAATTGAACACAGCACAATACATTACATAGATATGGATATAAAAAGTCAGTGCAAAATAAAAGCACTTACCAAATAAAAAATTTATCCATTAATTAATATTTTACAAAATAAATTTATTGAAGGAAATTAAGTAAATAATGTAATACAAGAATTGGAAATTAAAACATTTGGTGCAAAAAGATCTACTTATGTGTATATTAATGGCCTCAGACTATACATCTTCTTGTGCCCTAATAATGTAGAGAAACCTGCACTAATCCTAAAAATAGCTTACATTGCAACTATCAAGTGAATGGAAAAAGATAAAAGGGATAAGAAAAGATAATAAATATGCTTAGTAACAATCTAATAGCATCATATATGAATGAACAAAATATCTGTAAACCCCCCCCCCCCAATCTGATTAAAATCTGATGTAGTGTACAGGCTTTAATTATTTTGGCTAGAAACTTATTTTAATTTTATTTTTTATTATATTTGTTATTAATGCCCTTTTTTTTATTACTTTACTTATTTACTTATTTTTTTTATTCTGCCCTACCTATGTATGTAATGAAGAATTAAAAAAAAAAAAACACGAAATCAAAATCAAAGTAAAATAATAATAAAACAAGTCATTGTCAATGACACGTCCCCATTCCGTTCATATTTGAGTGACATATACATTCAAAGCAGATCATGACCGAAATCTCAGACCACTTTCAGTGGTCTGATCCGAAATGCACCTGCATATGTACAACACATTGTATGATGTGTGTGAAGTGTGGTCTTGATCTGTCCAGGCATGTCCGAGATATGGATCAAAAACTAAATTCTTTAAAACAAAATGGCTGCCAGTCGGTTATTTTGAACTTGATCTGAAGAAAAATTTGTGTGCATCAAGCTTATATTATGTTTAATATATGCACTAAATCTGAACAAAATCCATCCATGCATAACTGAGATCTGGTTCCGGAATTGTGAAAATACGTGATTTTGATGCATTTTCGGCCTTAAAATGGCCATCATTCAGTTATTGTTAAGCGGATCATGAAACAAATGCACACATCTATTTGTGGCATGATGTACCTTGTGTGTGTGAAGTTTGAACTCGATCAATCCAGGCATGTCTTGGATACGGATCCAGAACTGAATTCTTTAAAACAAAATGGCCACCAGTCGGCCATTTCAAACCCGATCCCCCCCCCAAAAAATGACGTTCATCAAGGTCCTATTATGTTTAATGTATGTACCAAATTTGAACAAAATCCGTCCATGCATAACTGAGATCCGGGTCCGGAATTGTGAAAATGTGCGATTTTGATGCATTTTCAGCCTTAAAATGGCCGCTATTCGGCTATCGTTAATCGGATCATGAAAAAAATGCATAAGCATATGTCCCATATAATGTGTGATGTATGAGTGAAGTTTGAACTTAATCGGTCCATGCATGTGCGAGATACAGGTGATCACGGACGCATAGACGCACGGACGCACACAGGGCAAACCATAAGTCCCCGTTTTCGGACTACGTCCAAACGGAGACTAATAAAAAGGCATTAATAACAAAAGTAATAAAATATAAAATTAAAATAAGTTTATGGCCAAAATAATTAAAGCCTGTACACTACATCAGATTTTAATCAGATTGAACCCCCCCCCCCAAAAAATACACAGTAAATTATGTTATATACATGTAGTTCTTTTATTAAGGGTTGGCAAAATTACACCAATCTCTGTACAGCAGACTATTTGTATTATTATTATACACATATAATACATTTCAAAAGTAAAATGGCTATTCATTGGCCACTGTGAACCAGATCTGTGAAACAAAATACATGTAAAAATAATTTTCTATGCACATACCAAGTTTGACTTAAATCTGAGGTCCTGTTTCACAAATGACCTTTTAACCTCCTAGTTCCTAATTTGGCAACATATTCAATGAATAAGCGAAACTATTACAGCAATTTTAAAAATTCTGTTCAGATAATAAACCTGAAGAGCTTAATACAATGTTAAAATGATTTTATCAGTTCAATGTTTTTTTTTTTAATATTTATAGACATAATTGATTATAAATGTCATTACTGGATTGATATAAAGTGTTAAGGTTCAACTATTGACAAGTATGAAACATTCACCCAGAATCAATTTCTATTTTTTCTTTTTTTTTCTTCAAATATGTGAAATAAATCTGTACATAGGAAATAATTGATAGCATCGCATAGCACCTGCACCATAGGATGAATGTAATTATTACAAATTTGTTCAATGATGAGATTATTCAACCTTATTGTACAGCCATCATTTGTAAAATCTTATCAATTGTTTAATTCAGTTTAATCAAGGTAAGAAAAATATAGCCAAAAAGTGAAACAAATTTGCTAATACTGTTGCTAGTTGAAATAACTCACATATAGTGTTTGAGTAAAAGGTATCATAAATTAACTCAAATTTCATTATATATACATGTATGTAGTAGCTTCAACCACTTCCCCATACTATTTTACAAGGAAATGTTAATAGTTATAAATTAAGTAATAGCCGCCATTTTGTCCAGTATCATTCTTATAGTAATAATTTCCTTCATATCTTCAAATTATACACATTGTGGTTGAAAGGATACATTTACTTTACTTCTCTCAAAAATATAGTTCTGTGCCACACAACTGAATAAATATACCGTTGTCTAAAAAATGTCATAGTATCAGTCATGGACTAGTTGTGTGACTTTTTTACCAATTCTTTTGAGAATTATGAGTAGGTTTCAAAACAAATTTTTATCACAAAATGACTGACAGAAAGCTATCCTGAAACTTGATAAAACTATTTGACACTACATTTGTAACCAGACATATTTCTTTGAAAATTTCTAAAACCTAATGTATAAATATTAAGGTATGACATTTCATAAAGATCAGATCATGAAAACAAAAGGTGCATATAGAATCTACATGTACAAGTCTGTATGCTCAAAATGTGAATAAAATGTCATCATAAATTTCAAAAAGATTTATTATTACAGCTAGTGAGCCATCTTCCCTGATCTAATGTTTAAGCTATGCATGAGAAAAATGTACTCTAGAGAGTTGAGAACTACCGAGAGAAAGTTATATGCTCAATTTATCAGAAATATTATACGCAAGTTCTCTTGCCGACAATTTACAGTGCTCCATGTTCAGTTCAGATTTAGTGGTCACATTTTTTCTTTTGTCTCCTGTTCAACGATCGCTCGTCGGGAAAGAATGAGCCTATCGTCTTCTTTCAAGATATCTTTTTCATATAAACCAAGCTAAATGAGCTGAAATTGGTTGGCAAATTCATTGTTGGAGTCTATGGATTCTGTGTTTATCGTTTGAGTGCATGTTGCTACATGTATTTATAGATTTT